CAAATGTATATTTATATACCTTTTAAAAGATCAGCATGGTTTTCTAAATATTGTCGATAATCTGTTACATGGTTTGATATGATAAACAAATATCGAATAAAGATGGTAGGTCGTTCACGTGGACCTTTGACTGTACTTGCATCGACGTCAAAAAATTTCTAAACAACAAATTTGATTCCAAGTTGCCTTTGGGTAAAGGAAAAAGATATTTAGAACTATCTTCGTTTTATAAGAAAGGTATGTTTTTTGCTTTTCAATACTTGCAACTAAATTTCAGTGACTAACTTTCTTATTGTTTGAACATGAAAATCAAAACTATTTAGTTATATATATTCAAAGATTGCTAGAATTAGGCAATCCCTAAAGCAATATATTTGAAGAGGTCTAAAACCCGGAAGTTTTCAAAAGAGTACTTTTACTAAAACAAACAACAAAAAGCAAAAATCTAGTTCTTGCGTTGTATTATTCATATTTTAAAGGCGCAACTTTCATCTAATCTCTTCGTAAACAATAGACATCTTCTAAAGTAAGTATTTACTTTAGAAAACGATAATTAAAGTAATTTATTTCTGTATATCAAAAAGGGAACTTTTTACTTTCATTCTAGTTGGAATGTTTACCAATGGACGCTATAATATCAATATTTTATCGTTTATTAGTAACGTAAGCATGCATTACTCATCATTCCAAAAAGAGAAATTATTCATGAATAGCTATCTTTCAAGTATCGATTTTTTCATGTCTATTTATACATTTTTCTTATCTCATTTGACGAATTTTCATTGTTCGTTTAAGGAAAGAAAGAATGCTTACTTAAGATATATAAATGATAATATAATTATCTTACTTTGATATTTTTATTAATTTCTTCAATTTTTGCTAAAGATGGTGTTGCATTTGTTGTTCCTGATGTGTCCAAACCAACCTAAGATAGAATCACCTATAGGAATATTAATAAGCCAAAAGTCTATGCTCGCTTTTTTTGGATAAAAGAACTGTTTGACTGCTGGAATAACTCGTTCCACACGCTCCAAACGTTTGTGAAATTTATTTAATTCTTCACGTAGAATACTACATCCTTTGCATTCAACAGCTGTTGAATCTACAAATAAAATGACATGTAAACAGACATCTTCATTCTGTCTTTGTAGTTACCATCAATAATTGTTGTTGTTTTCTTTTTTTTCTTTGCTGGTACTTTCTTTCGGCTTATTAATTTGTTTAACATTTTACTGCTATCATTGATGTCTGGATGTTTCTTACCAACAATTGGTGGTGCTAAAACGAATAAGTCAAATGTTGTTCGGTTGGTGATTGAAATAAATTACCTTCATCTTCATCATCATCACTTCCATCGAGTGAACTATCAAAATCATGATGCCGTTTATTCGCTGTTGATGATGGATTGTATACTTTGTCAAAATCTAAAAAATGGATGTAGATATTTATCAGCATATCTGATATAAAAATTTTGTACCAATACTAGCTTTGTCTTTGATTGCATAAGTAATACTATATCTGGATGAAGAATAACTTTCAGATGGTTTATCCATCGGATTTTCTTTCGAATTAATTGATGCTTGTAGTGTCGAAGGTGTTTGTAATAGCGATGTTGATACGTCGAAATCATCACATACATCATTTTCTTTTTCTTCATCATCATCATCTACAAATTGTCCTAAATCAATTTCTTCACTACCAGTTTCACGTGCAAATTTCGTTTTATTCAAATTCATTTGTGCTTTTGAACCTTAAATAGTTTTATTTAAAGCAAAAAAGAAGAAAAAGAATACAACAAACCTCTTGCAAGAATTGTTAATGGAGTTCTATCACCACAAATCTTTATTTCACCTTTTTCTGTATTTATTGGATTAATATTGATGGATGTCGTTGGTATTACCGCATGTTTTGTACCTTTCATGAATGATGCTAATACATATTCTTTTGAAGAATAGCGATTATTTATTCCTGCAGTCAATCGAGACGAAGAACGAATCATGATACAATAAATCTATAATTAAGAAAAATATCTAAAACAGGGAAATACTTTATAACCAAGAAAATAAAAAAATAATCAAATATTGGCAATATTGCTAATAAGTATGTCTTTGAGACCGTCAAATGAATTGTTAATCAATTATTAAATGCAGTACTAATTTGTTCAAAACCTAGAAATTCTCTACTTAATCGTGATCCCAATCAATAACAACATCCGTAAATACGAAAACGTTCTCCTGATTCCAACTCATCTTGATTACTTTATTTATAATATCGGAAACAGGAACTACTTTATATGAATATTGCTTGGCACTAAAGAAGCCGAAATAAGAATCAAGTCTTTTAAGAATATTTTGTGGAATAATAACTGTTGTCAGTCCTGCTGCTAAACTAAGATCAATGCATGAATATTTTTTTACAAAAGCATAGTTAACATTGAATAATTTGAAGTAAAACAACACTTCAACAAAACATTTTTTTCTTGCTTGTATGCATTTAGAATTAGTAAGAGATACTTGATAACTAATCGCTTTTCCACCACGAGAATAAGCTTTAGAACGAAATGTTTTAAAACCACGACGATATCGACTATAATATTGAATTTGTAATGCTGCATCAGGTATAATTTGTTGTTTTGTCAAACATTCAACTAATTTTGTTTTATATTGT